AAACCTAATGCTAAATGTTTTTGATCACCAGTGTGAGATGTTGTTCTTTCCTATTGCACTAGTTATAATGTTCCTCTTCTTGACGCTGCCAAGAATTTCACCATACTCGTTAAAAACAATGTGCAGTTTCCCAAGTTTGGTGAATCAAAGTAAGTAATAATATTTACAGTTTAATTTATACTTCTTGTTTTGAGCTTACTGGCTTATAGCTAGAACGCTTTATGCCGGCATCAGCGTAAGAATGATGGTAAGGTCATTGCTATTGTTCTTGTGTGTGTAGTGAAGCGTAACCTTAGGCGCCAATTCAAAGGGACTGGCTTTGATACCTGCTATCCCCCATTCTCTGTTTTATACAGTATTGTTATGACAAGGAGGAATTTGACACTGATCGTTCTTAGGGCTTTTTAATAAGGTTAAATAGGATATTATGCTCCTTTATTTTAAAAACATTAAGTGTTTAAGTTTGTGAGGAATGGCCTTTCAAATATAATATTACAGGAAACATGTTCTGTTATGATAATTCTCAAATTGAGTTTAGCCAGAGTAATTTCTTTGCTATTTCTATCCATTCTTAATATATTTATATTGTTTTTTTTTAAATTTATATTTCTTTTTTTGTTTACTGTGAGAAAATCATCTCATTTATTAATTTGTTATCACATTGGTGACAGAAAATTGTGCTGTCAAACAAATTGCATCCCCTGTTATGCAGCATGCATCCCTTAATCACAAGATTTCAATCATGGCATGCAAGTTTACCTCTTAGAGGTTTTAACAGCAGTTGCAGGTGATAACCTTTGGTTTTTGCCTTTAAAAGTATATTATTTTTGTTTTTCCAAACAGGAGAAACATCCAGTCCAATAACAAAACATACTTGACTATCTGTAATTATGATCCTGAAACAGACCCTCTGTGTCCAATATTCCAGCTTGGAAAGATTGTTGAGCTAGCAGGTGTCAATTTTGATGATATAGCTTACAAGGTAAGTTCAGGCTCGAATTAACAACAGAAAAAAACAGAATTTGACTTCTTTCATGAATGTCAGTTTTAGATCATCCTAATCCAGTATCAATGACCTGACCAGTGGTCATGGCAAAAAAACTCTTATACAATCTAGCCAATCAGTGTGTGTGAAGTTACTGCCAACTTTGGACATTCTTCCTTTTACATAAAAAACAACTGGAAACTTGCATGGCATAGAGAAACACATTTTTTATATGATTTATAGTGAACAGAGTAGACCATCACACATGAAATATCTATTTCAGTTAATTTGTTTAAAATTATAATTGATTAATTTACTTTTTCAATAATCTTTTTTTCTGTTGTCATTTTCATGTCATTTCAGGGTGGAGTCATGGCCATTGTTATAACATGGAATTGTAACTTTGACTCTCTTGCATATTCTTGTGAACCCAAGTACTCATTTATAAGGTGATTACAGACCTCCTGGTTTCAATAATAGTCGGGCTGTAATATTAGGATGCAGTCTGAACCATTTTCACTGCTGAAACTTAACTACCCCAAAATTTCTTTTTCGATCACAACCCAAATCTCCCAAATCTATCAAGTGATTTTTTAAGATAATGTAAATTTATAAAATGTAGTTTGTTTAATTAAATAATGTACATATGTAATGTAGTTTGTTGGAAACAATGATGTGTCCTGACCATTAATAAAATTTATCAAGGGTGCCATTCTTCTAAAATAAAAATTCTCCCCCACTAAGTAGCTGATAGCCAGGAGTATAAGCAAGTAGATGTATAATGAACATAATGCAGTCATATAACTGATAAAATTCATAGTGTTGCTGTGAATGCATGTCTCCGTGTGTTAATTAACACAACTCATGGCCAGTCACGAGTGTGGGACAAAGAAAAAATCTGAGTCCCTGACAGGATTCAAACCTATGGCCTCTCAAACACCCGGCAGGTGCTCTATCCACTGAGCTACGGAGAACTCATGGAGAGCGAGGCCATATACTTAAGGTTCATATTTGACATGCGTCCTTCATACTGCTAGGATCAGCAATGTCGAGATCGTACTGTGTGGTGAAAGAATGAAAGATGGTTAAATTTACCATCTTTCATTCTTTCACCAATCATTATATGGTTTTTAAATAAATAATCATGTTTTCTCCTCAGATTGGATGACTCCAAAGCACTGATTGCCGAAGGTTATAATTTCAGGTAACATTAGTTCCATATCATATCATTATCATCATACTGATCCTGCTGACAATTTTTTTTTTTAATATTCTAACCTCGGAAGATAGCCTGTTCCAGACTTAAAGATACTTATAGTAATGAGCAGAGGTCACGAAATCTGATGCATAAAACACACACCCCCTTTCCCAGATCATACACATCTTATTCTCTCATGCATATGGCTTGTTCAGTTTGGAACATTCCTACTATCTGAAGGCCTGGCACAGGCTAAACATGAGTGTTTAAATTTCTTTGTTTTATTTTGTTTTTTTTCAATACTTTTGCAGATATGCTAATTACTATGTACAAGACAATGTTCTTTACAGGACACTGTTCAAAGCTTATGGTATTCGATTTATGATCCTGGTATATGGACAGGTAAAAATAATTGTTGCATGTTCTGTTCACCATGANTACGTTATACTTGAATTATTTGCTAGTGGTTATTTAATTTTAATGCCTGTAAACCCGTCAAAGCACTAACGCTTAACGACTTCCAATATAAACAAAAATTAACATTCTCTTTTCCAAAGGAGATTCAAAAGCTGGCCGCGACTCGAGCACTAGCCGTTTGTCAGAGCCGTGTAAATCAATGGATTGTGATTGTATGTGGGTTATATATCCCTTTGTTTCCATTGGAATTTACAGCGCCGAGTTTAGAAATGAAGTTTTGCAAAAATTTCTTCGGCTCCCAAATTGTCTACATGAACCAATAACCCGTAATCCGCTCTGACAAAAGTCTGGTGTTCCAAACAGCAGCTTTTGAATCAACATATGTTGACTGACTCATGAGAGCCCAAGAGTGTTCGTCAGCTGAGAAGTTTCTCTAAGTCTTTACAAAGTTCATCCATTTCAGGACTGCTTCCTTTAAACTTCTCCACACTGAGTCCCAAGACACTTGCAAGACCTGCCACCTGAAGCAAACAAAAAATTATTGCAGTTGTCTGTCGCATCGTTAATCGGGTTTTATTTTGTAAATATTTATCCAAGTAACCCAATCCTGCCTTTAAAAGTTAAGCTACTGCTTTGCAGATGAATCTGTAGATACTACTAGGGCATGATACGAATGATGCTGAATGATGGCTTAACAAACAAACAATGTGGATATTAAATAGGAGAGAAAAGGTAAGCAATCACATAAAAATTGTGAATTGGAAAGGAGGCCGTTTAATGGAGCTGGCCTCGCCCGTAGAGTTTCAACTGTAATCAGATGGCATGTTAGCGTTTTGAGAAAGTGCGTGTGCCTTGAACTTTACTGTGAAAAGTCAGCGCAAAATTAACCTGTCAAATTAAATCAAAGTGTTTAAAGTTTTGTGACAGAATTTAGACAAGAAAATTAAACTACCTCAGAACTGCAGTCTATAAATCTTCTCAATGCGTAAAGGCAGTTATGACCTGACAACAATGAAACAAAAGATAAATGAGTTCATACCTTGAAAAGAAAACGACCTTTAGAAGCCTTTGAGGGTAAGAGAAAACTAATTTATGAACAGACTTTCTAATATTAACTAGCCATTTGTCCATACTTCCTCGAATAATGGCATTCCCTCGATTAATCGCCTCCCCGAATCACCTCCCACCTTAGACGGAATTTTTTTATGGAATCGAAAGTTTGAACTTTCATATGGTAGGCAGAGAACGTATTCAGAGCTTTAAAACTTCAATTTGGAAAGAAAATCTTCCTCTTCTCTAATCCTCACCCAGAATTACCATGGGTTGGAAACGCGCGAGATCTCAACACAACAGCCCACATGCAGGGCAAGACACTTTAAAAGCGAGCAGAATTCTGTGTGAAAGACCGACCTGTTTCTGGTGACACATCCTTGCTCAAAACTTCAATAACAGCTGTCGAACACTCAAGGGCAATTTCTTCGTGTACCTGAATAAATAAATAAATTTAATTACCACTACAGTGTATGTTCATAATTGTTCACTGTTCTCGAGAGGGGATAATGACATTCATGTGATGGGTCCATCACTTGCTGTCCTTAGCGTGTGAGCAAGCTCTCCATTTGGGGGATACAACTGATGAAGGGCTCTGCTTTTCCTTCCACAAGAACTACAAACTCAGTCCGACTTATCCCCTGCTCGCAATATTCTATTGGCAATCCAACACTTTCACACGTACAGCTTTGCGAGAATTACATCAGACGAGCCCGCCTGCTTTGAGAGCTGAAACAAGCTCTCGGTTCCAGTATGATCCCCCTGAGAACCAAATTTGACACACAGACGACAGTTAACTCTCACAGAAGGAGAAAGCGATTTTCTTCCTCTGCCGGTCTCCTTTTTCGGAGTGAGTTCAGCGATCGCCGACACAACACGGGTTTTGGGAATAAGAGCATCGTGTTTCTACGTTTGCCGCGAAAATTTCGGGCAGGCCAGCTGAGCCTGTTATCAATCAACTTTGATATCCGGAACGTCATTTTCAGCCAATGGTATCTCCCTTCGTCTGAAAATTCATGAGACATCATTTGAGGCTCTCCTTTCCTCGGCCGCTCGCGGCTCGCTCGCGCGTTCTCGCGCGGCTCGCTTCGCTCGCCCAAATAGGAAAGCTTGCTCGCGGGATAGCTGTCCTTCATTCTCCAATTTTGTTATGCTTAGAAACTTTATTATTATTTGTATACTCTGAAAGGATGGTGTAAATTTCAAATCCAAACGTTTTGATAATCCAATGAAGAAATTAACGCTACTGGAACACTATAAGTCAGCAATAAACGAAAAATCTCATGGGTCTTTTTAACGTGTCTGAATAAGTCTTGTCAAAGTACTGTACTACGGGGGGTGACAACTCTAACAAAGGCTGTTTGGGCAGTCCTATGAATAACTTTATGTCCTCCCGGAAATTTCGTCGACCCTCCCGAATTTTTCGGTGGCATTCCCCATAAATGTTTAACTTCACAAAATTGTTTTATCAATTAAAATTAAAATTTTGATTAGAGATTTTTTGCAGCTTCTTGTTAATTATGTAACTTGTTAATTATCTAATCTTAGTTATTTTTTCGTTTAGAGGGTATCATGTTAACACAGAAAGACTATCAAACTTTTTAAGTATATAAAATCGTGTTTTTTTGTTTTTTAATCACAAATGAATCAGGCGAGCAGTGAAGGGGCCAACAACTAGGGGGGTCTGGGGGCATGCTCCCCCAGAAAAGTTTGAAATCTTGTTGCTCTGAAACGCCATTTCTAGTGTTCTGAGAGGACAAATTCTGTCCAAAATGTTCTCTAAATCAATTGTCCTTTTTATTCTTATTTTTATTGGCGTGACTTTGCGTAGAAGTAGTGAATTTTATTTTATACAAGTTGTGCGGTTTTTGAAATTGCTCTGGATATCACTTTCAGCTAAGTATACTCTGTGTGGTGTCATTGTATGAGTATCATAAGAATTCATTTGAAAATTTCAGAACAACTGTCGAAATCTGAAATTTTCCTATCCCGAACGCATATTGATCGGGATTCGGGGTTTTCGAGCAAAATAGGAAGGACCCCAACGAGATCAGGATGATTAAAGAGCCTTCACAGACATATTACTTTTTATGGCCTCATTTGTGTTTAACAAAGTTAAATGAGTTTCGTTTTTTTCTTACATACTTCTTACGTACTTTTACAAGTTTTCCAGTATGTAATCAGTGGAATGTGCTCTTAAAACTCGTCAAAGTGCAGCGTAAAAATACCCCTGAACTAATGAATGATGGGATCTGGTGTGAACTGATAGTATGTGCCTTGCACCAGCACGGCTCTTGTTTTAATCCGCAGGGGATTGCACGTGGTCAATCGCACTCGAACTTCATGCTATTTTAGTTGGAAACGTTGCTGATTGGTCTTTTCATATCATGGGGGGTTCAGCCGTTTTCAAGTGTTAAAATACATAGAATACAGCGCATACACTGGGAGCATATCACTGTATATATATTGTTTGATAACATGTAATATCAAATCTTTGCTCAATGTCCCGAAAATATCTCATACTTCACGAAAAATTTCCCAGGTTTCCCGATTCCCGGCAAAATCTCCAGATTCCCGGAATAAATTTGTTTTTCTCCCGAAACAGCCCTTGTTAGAGCTGTCACCCCCCGTTGTACTCGCGCACTGTGAATGGTTGAGAACATACAAGTTACCTTAAATCGAGCAATATTTGAAGCCAATGCAGCGCCTACGGTAGTGAGATCTTCATTTTTGCTCAGAAGACAGTTCACAGTGACAGCAGCAAGGGGAGTAGAGCGAGTGTCTTTAAACATGACTGAGTGACCTGTCTGATGGCTGGTAACACAACAATACTACAACACAAAATATGACTAATAAGTGAATTGGAATTAACGTTTCAGTCTGAGGCCGTTTTCCAGGTTTTCATGATGACGACATTTGACTACAACTACCAGAATGCGTTTCGTTTTCGCTTTTAAATTTGTCGAACCCTAACCTGAGGATTGAAAAACAATAACCATAATTTTCACAAGAAAACAAAAAACTGAAGAACTCTTGTAGTTGTGGTAAAAAGACGTCATGATCATATAATTGTCCTGCTAACGCAATGAAAATAAGGAGAGCCTAATATAACAATAGGTCATCCTCAGTAGCTAAGTGGCAGTGCTGATGAGTCAAATGACGCATTTAACATTGCATCTACAGAGCTAAGATGTCCGCTTTAGATCTAAGTGAATCAGAGGGCAGTAACGAACCCATCCAAAACGTACAGCCACTGTAGCCACTAGGAGTTATCTCGAACTCAAACGTTAGTCAATGACTTCCAAACAGAAAGAAAGGATCATTGGCAAATCGAAGTTACTATTATGATGCTTTCTCCTTGTTTTAAGGTAATAACAAAATAGGTACAAGTATAAACCTCTAAGGACTTATAGAGCATGCTTTTTTAAAATTCTCCAGAAGTGAACATAATCACTTAGCAAAATCATCTCTGGCAGCTGGCCTGCTGGGCAAGCAGAACTTTGTAAGTCACTTACCAGCTTCACACATTCAACTTGACTTGAAGAGGAATTTATGTCTGAAAATTGTCTGCAGGTCATATTCACAGTTTCCTGTAAACCTGTTTGAAACAATACACAGACCTGCATTGAATTTTGAATTTACAGTATCCAGCTTCAGTTAAATAAAGATAACCTCCGATGTTTTTGCATTTATTTTCCCTCTTCAGTATAACTAAAAATGTCGAACATTGGCAAGATGATGATATTAAGTCTAGGGACTAGACTCACTAAAAAAATCTTGTTTTGCCTGCGGAAAATGCAGTGATGCGAGTATAATTATAAGGTTTTACCTTGGGTTCAAGTCTTTTTTAACAATACACAAAATTTAAAACTCACCTTTAGAATCAGAATATAACTGATCATTTAATGACAACACTTGAAGAAATTTCAAACTAAGCTGAACAGCGGAGCAATATTTCTCTTGAGTTAAATACTTGTCAACCACCTTATCTGTAAAACAATTTAAGGATCAATATAACCTTTTCTAATAAAGCCTGACCTTTCATCACCCCTTTTAGCAAACAGTCTGATCGTTGATGTAGAGAGTAGGTTCTCGATGAATGACAGGTAACTATTGCAAGGGGCAGGTGGCGGCCTTATAATTAATTTTCTCCAAACTAGAAACTAAAATACCTGACTTCAAATCACTTTCACACGATACTTTAATATCTCTTCTTATGAATTCTTCTGATTATTTAATTAACTGTCAATTAGTTTCATTTATCTCGCAATGCTTTGAATTAAGAACCAAACTAATATTAATGAATGAATGAATGAGAACTGTAACGTTTTGTAATGTTTTACACCTACTAATTAGATGAATTAGTACTTAAATTAGACTAATAGCTTTTGCAATACTGTAATTTTTTAATGGTCATGCAAATAAAGCATTTGGTGTTGTTGAAGTTGGCACGAGCAACTAGGTTGACGTGACAACACACTTTGCTTTGGTTTGCTTCACTTTGACAAGACGAGCTATGACGATTATGATGATGATGATGATAATGATGATGATGATGATCAAGCAAACAGATTGAGTAACTAAAATCTTTTAATATCAGGACCGTAGGAACGAATTTGAAAGTGGGTGGGCACGACTGTTGTGGCACTGAAAGACCTTTTACTCAAAGCATTTGTAGTATGCATAACTAATATCAGTTTCACTAAACCTGTTGCAGTCTATCTGAATGAAGCAGGTTCATTTGCATTAAGAGATTCTATTATGGATGACATGGAGGCTATAGAACTTTCTTGAGCATGTATTTTCAAAATTGTAAGCTGCGTTTCAACACGTTCCAAGTTTATATCTGAATCATAAAAGTTCCAGGTTGATAACGGCTCACTTGAAAAATCGCCCCCTGCAACTGTTGTGAGAAGCAAGTTTTCCAGATTCATATAGATTTCAGGGGCGTAGCTTGAGATTTTGAAGGTGTACGTTAGGGAAAAAAAGTTAGAAGGCCGAAGGCGCTTCAAAGTAGGGGGAATGATTGTCCGGGGCATACTCCCCACAGAAAAGGTTTAAATTTAGGGGCTCGGAAATGCCATTGTAGTTCTGCGTTATCCACAGGACATTTTACTCAATACAAAAGAAAGTGCAAATGGTTAGAACATATTTTACCCATATCTAGCATTGTTGTTATAGTACAGTGTTTGCGGAAAAAGGTAAAACAGTGACGCCATCAAGGAAATTACAAGCAAAGGGGGAGAGAGCCTGTCTATTCTCGTCTCTACTGCGAAACATCCCTAGTGATTCACTGGCGAGCGAGCGAGCATTTACCCTTCAGACGGGCAAAAGACACCAAATAAAGATCATATAATGCAAATTCAAAAAACCAGTCACCCTCAGTGTTTAATGATAAAAGTGCTTGCAGGAAATCATTGTATATGTTACAGGTCAAATTCGATTTCAGGTTAAATTTTTTTAACCTAAGTTGATTCTCTATTTGTCTTGTCTTCTATCTAGCCCTAATTATTTATGAATTAGGGCTAGGAGACAAAGGAAAAAATAAAGAATCAGCCTAGGTTAAATCAAAATTAACCTGAAATCAAATTTGACTTATAACATATATAAAAAAATTATTTTCCACACGTTCGTAGATGGACGCTACGCTCCTGGATTTTATAATCTGGTTGATCAATCTAGACTTGATTCCGGTTCACTAGCAAGTCCAGGGCTTCAAAATATCTGATACATCTGTTATAGTCTTGTTTAGTTCCGGGAAAATGTACGTCGGGTTGTCCTTCATCTGTGCTTTTCTAGCATTACAGGGATTTAAACGGACTTGAGAAGTTTAAAAATTAGCCCTAACAACATATTTTGTAAAATCAAACGGGGAATTGCGTTGGTTATTAAATCAGTATTTTCAACAATAAAGTTGTAATTTTTTTTCCCTTCCATTTTCGCCCAAAAAGTGAAGGGAGTGGGGGCGGGGGAAGGAGGCATACGGCCATGTAATTCATGACGAAGGTAACTTTTATCTAACGAGGAAGGTGACAGGAGACAAAAAAGTAAGGAAAAATAACGCACAGTGTTAAAGCAAAGTACAACTGAACTTACCAAGAACTTGAATTTGCCTTTCTTGCACTCCTATCAGATTTTTGTCATGTAGGCACTCTTTTAATTCATCAAGATGACTCAACTCCTCATCTGAAAATTCTTTTGTGTCTGTAAGAACGTCTTTCAGCTGAGCTACATCTGAGGCCGTCTAAATAAATTATAAACGAATGTAAAATGTTAAATTCACAAGACACTACAAGGCTGTAAGGAAATACGGATTTCCAAGGTTTATTTTATAAAATTTCACAGACTTACATCAACTTGGTTGAATGTGTTGGCCTTTCTCAGCACTGAGCTTTGACTGTCAATTGGAAAAAAAAATTTAGCCTTGTTAAAAAAGTAAAACTTTATATTCTAACCATGGAAGAAAGCCTGTTCCAGACTGAAAGATACTTATAGTAATGAGCAGAAGTCATGAAATCTGATGCATAAAACACGCACCCCCTTTCCCAGATCATACACATCTTATTCTCTCATGCATATGGCTTGTTCAGTTTGGAACATTCCAACTATCTAAAAGCCTGGCACAGGCTAAACATGAGTGTTTAAATTTCTTTGTTTTATTTTTTCAATACTTTTGCAGATACGCTAATTATTATGTACAAGACAATGTTCTTTACAGGACACTGTTCAAAGCTTATGGTATTCGATTTATGATCCTGGTATATGGACAGGTAAAAATAATTGTTGCATGTTCTGTTCACCATGAGGTCATATCTTTTACAGAAAATGTCCTAACCCCATGGCTACAGACTATTTTTAGTCTAAGCCCTTGATCATCTCTTTTATATGGCCTTTCATTTTAATTAAGTATTTCCCTCGACACTTTGCTTGAGAAACGCTTTTCCTTTTTTCGTTTCCTATTCTTTTGCAATAATATTACCATGAATAAATTCATTATTGAAGATTGTATCTGGAACAAATAATATCAATAAAAGGGCACTTGATATGTTAAGTTCTTACTTTGTTTTACAAGCAAACACATAGCAATTTGGAATCTAAACGTTTCCCTTACCCTATCACATTGGTTTTTTTCTTTTGCCTCATTTAAATAAAGATATTCGCAGAGTTCAGAGAAGTATGTTATAATTATTAAAAGGAAGGTCCGTGTGCTTGTGATAACACTTCGTTTTTGACAGATCCAAAAAATTTGAGTAGCAAAATAAAGAGCTATAAAATTGATAAAAATAAACAAAAAAATGTTTGATTTTCTGTCTTCTCAGGGAGGCAAATTTAGTGTCATCCCATTGTTTCTCAACCTGGGATCTGGTCTTGCCCTTCTTGGTATTGTAAGTATTCAAATTGACATTGACATTTTATTTTATTGTTTTATTTACAGTACAATGTGTTCTTGTGCCTTTCACCTGTGATCAGACGTTCTTTTCAGGGGAGCATGAAATTTACAATATCTCATTTCTTTTGCAGGCCACAGTTCTTTGTGACATTGTGGTTCTCTATGTACTTCAGAAGAAGTATTTTTACAGAGAGAAAAAATATCTCTTGGTTGATGATACTGAAAGTGAAACTGATGATTACCAGGTATGTTGAAGTGGCCTTGTCCTGCTTTTTTTCCAGTTACATGACAAAGTTTGAATGTTATTTATACAGAAGCATCTTCTCTAGTGAACAACCATTGTTAACCATTGAAAATTTTGAACAGCTTGGGCCTTCCGAGCTAATCTATTGACCAGTGAAGGAAATGTTATACTAAACGCCAGCACACTATGAACATTGCAGTAATAAAATTATTAGTCTTAAATTTGGCAACTCTAAGCCCAGAATAGAAGCTTTTGATACTTAAATATGGTTAACATTCATTTAGTCTTTATACCAACAATAGCGTTTTTGTTGATTTATATATATGTGACTACAACAGCAACTTGTAGAACAAGAAATCACAGATGTCAACTAACAACGGATGAAGTATAATACCTGAAAAGGTATTCATTGGCATAGCATAGCGAAGGCTTTTAACAATTGCTTCATAAATTTTGCTTAACAAGTAAACTACGCCCGTCAGTAGAGCTAGAGTAGTGGAAACTAAGGTAGTAACATCCGTCATGCTTGCTTTTTGTTGTAAACCTGCTTTATGTTTGACAGGTTGCCCGTTTCTCAGTAACTTGCATTGATAACACAAAACTTGTAAACAATAGTATATAGACAGTTTGCCAGTATGAACACCCATCGGCTTTTTACTGTAAACTCTTATTTAAAATACCGCGTTTTAGTTGCCTGTCCACAGACGTTTTTTCTCTTTTTTTTGGACAATTCGACACCGCGGATTTTATTTCCATACGCGCGCTCGACGATCCTTACTGCGCTTTTCAAAAACACGTGAACTCTGAAGTTCAAAAGCCGCCTTTACAAGGGCGTTTTTCGCTGCTTTCAATCATAATTACGATCACAAGCAACGATCCTTGAAACACAGAAACACACAAAATGGATCGAAATCCACAAATCACAAACCATGACCTTTTGAACCCATGGAAGTAACGGGGGGTGACAACTCTAACAAAGGCTGTTTGGGCAGTCCTATGAATAACTTTATGTCCTCCCGGAAATTTCGTCGACCCTCCCGAATTTTTCGGTGGCATTCCCCATAAATGTTTAACTTCACAAAATTGTTTTATCAATTAAAATTAAAATTTTGATTAGAGATTTTTTGCAGCTTCTTGTTAATTATGTAACTTGTTAATTATCTAATCTTAGTTATTTTTTCGTTTAGAGGGTATCATGTTAACACAGAAAGACTATCAAACTTTTTAAGTATATAAAATCGTGTTTTTTTGTTTTTTAATCACAAATGAATCAGGCGAGCAGTGAAGGGGCCAACAACTAGGGGGGTCTGGGGGCATGCTCCCCCAGAAAAGTTTGAAATCTTGTTGCTCTGAAACGCCATTTCTAGTGTTCTGAGAGGACAAATTCTGTCCAAAATGTTCTCTAAATCAATTGTCCTTTTTATTCTTATTTTTATTGGCGTGACTTTGCGTAGAAGTAGTGAATTTTATTTTATACAAGTTGTGCGGTTTTTGAAATTGCTCTGGATATCACTTTCAGCTAAGTATACTCTGTGTGGTGTCATTGTATGAGTATCATAAGAATTCATTTGAAAATTTCAGAACAACTGTCGAAATCTGAAATTTTCCTATCCCGAACGCATATTGATCGGGATTCGGGGTTTTCGAGCAAAATGGGAAGGACCCCAACGAGATCAGGATGATTAAAGAGCCTTCACAGACATATTACTTTTTATGGCCTCATTTGTGTTTAACAAAGTTAAATGAGTTTCGTTTTTTTCTTACATACTTCTTACGTACTTTTACAAGTTTTCCAGTATGTAATCAGTGGAATGTGCTCTTAAAACTCGTCAAAGTGCAGCGTAAAAATACCCCTGAACTAATGAATGATGGGATCTGGTGTGAACTGATAGTATGTGCCTTGCACCAGCACGGCTCTTGTTTTAATCCGCAGGGGATTGCACGTGGTCAATCGCACTCGAACTTCATGCTATTTTAGTTGGAAACGTTGCTGATTGGTCTTTTCATATCATGGGGGGTTCAGCCGTTTTCAAGTGTTAAAATACATAGAATACAGCGCATACACTGGGAGCATATCACTGTATATATATTGTTTGATAACATGTAATATCAAATCTTTGCTCAATGTCCCGAAAATATCTCATACTTCACGAAAAATTTCCCAGGTTTCCCGATTCCCGGCAAAATCTCCAGATTCCCGGAATAAATTTGTTTTTCTCCCGAAACAGCCCTTGTTAGAGCTGTCACCCCCCGTGAAGTAAGCGTCCGTTTTCTAGGTCCGCTAAGACAATTGACGGCAGGGAAAAACGCAAATGTCAGTTGGTTTTGGAAACTCAGAATTCGCGTGCTTATGAAAAAAAAAAAAGGGTCTGTGGACAGGCTACATTACATTTGAAGAACAGCAGTTATAAGAATTCCCAAATAGTACTAAAATCTACCTTTTTTGTGGACCGCATTCCCCTTAACATATTTGCGAGATTTTCCGTTTTGTTTTATAGTTCAATAAATAATTAAATAAACAGTTTCAACTCCTTTCTCCTAATAGAAAACAAGAGCTCGTGTCATGAACAGCACTGGTAGTATGGATCGTAACAGTAAACAGTATTCACCCATAAACAACGAAGAAGATATTCAAGAGGATTCCACAACTTTCCAAAATAGTAATAATACACACACAAGTCAAAGATAGTACTGATCATAAGGATCAAGGCATTGCAGTATGTTAACCACGACATTCCCCATTGAAAATATCTTGGTCCATCATGCAGACTGGATGTCCAGATCGTGTACTAGTTCGAATTTGAATTACTTATACAGGAATGACCTGCCATCCAGTAGGACACTTCCGAGTTCCTGAAACCCTCACTTTCAAAATGAGGCAAAGTGCACAACCTTTCTTGTAAAAATGAGTTTCATTTGTACGAGAATGAAAAATCATTTTGATATCTAAGGCTGAGAACTTAACCTCGTTTTGATACAGAAGCCCTGGGGAACTCGGAGATGGCTCATTACTCATATTGTACTCAAAAGGGGAAAGTCTCAGGTACGATGGAAGCATTTTTGAATGATGAAGTTTCAAACAGCAGCTGTCCACTATCCTTCTAGTTTGCTGGGTTTTAAACCTATAGGTCGAAAAGGAACTAGAATAATACTCCACTAATTAGTTATAATGTGCTGTTGAATTTGAATTGAATCCGTCTCAAGAAAAGGATTAGTACTAATATGTAGTTCATTTAGATACGGTTATAGAAGATATGCATGCATAATAACACTGCAAATTAAGGAAAATAGTGTGAAAATAGGACAAAGTCTAGAATTGCCACAGTAAGAGTAAAACAATGCAAGAACCATCCCTGTGTAGTGTTTAGTTTTATATAGATTGTAGATTTTGTAATGATAAGAAATATCTTATATCCTCAGTTATTTACTAAAGGAACCGATATATAAAGAAGAAATCTCAGGGATACGTTTTAGAATATTAGGATAAAATTTAATCGTTCACTTTAGGAATACGTTTGTCTAGTCAAAAGAATTGTAATAAATATTTATTCTGTTGAGGTAATGTTAGCAGAAGTGTTTTGATGCGTCTCTTGGTTGGGCTTTTGAGCCCGGGCTGAGGCTATCTATTAGTGTGCCTTATCACGAAGAAAGCAAGACCAACAAGATAACTCGTAAAGTTTAACAAAAAAATCTGGGTTTATTTGGGTCAATTGACCACCACAAGGAGATTCAAATGCTAATTGTATGGTAATCCGGATTCCGGAATCCGAGAAATTTTTACTTGTGGAACCCTAGGCCGGGATGTTCAAAGCTGGGTTAAGATAACCCAGGGTCATCATCATCATCATCATCATCAATCTTTATTTATACACGAAATCGTATCATTTTACGTGGTCTTCCTAGGAATCGTGTTTAAAACTAGACTAAAATACTAAGACTAAAAGACTAAGGAACTATTGACTATAATGTTAAAAATACAAAAACTTACATTATGAATAATAAGAGTTACAATGGGTCATGGTGTATTAGAAAAATCTTTCCCATGAATTGAAGTTTTAAAAACATTTAAACTAGGCAGTTTTCTAATCTCTGAGGGAATCTTGTTCCACAGAACAGATCCTCTGTAGTGTAGGCTCCTTTTTGCAGACTCAGTTTTGGGTCTGGGGACATAATAATTTAACTCAGAATTTCTAAGATTGTGTGAATGTACATTTGAGGTGTTGGTAAAGATCAGCCTCAGATACGATGGGGAAAGATTATTATGGATTTTATACATTGTCACAGCCAACTGTTTAAGTCCTGCATATTCTAGCCTTTCCCAGCCAAGCTCATCCAACAAAACACTTGAGCGAACGTCATAGTTAGAAAAGGTGAGAATTCTAGCAGCCCTATTCTGCAGCTTTTGAAGTTTGTCTGCTAGTCCCTTATTGATATTACCCCAAACGGCACCACAGTAATTAAAATATGGCATTACCAGTGCATTGTACATGTTCACTCTAGTCGAAATTTGAATTCAGATATAAAGTTGAAAAGTAAATTCAGTTTAATTCTTTTTTTCAACAAGTTAATGATTGGATGCTCTTAAAAATAAGAGAGAAAATTATCCGAGAAAATGTTTTTGAACGAAAGAAAAAGAAACCCGGGTTAAATTTAGCCCTGGGTTAAGCGCAAATCGGCCTTCGAACAACTGGGCCCTGAATCCTGGGCTTTGGAATCCGGAATTCAGCTCAAGAAATCCAGAATCCAAGTTCCACTGTCAAGGAATCCGTAATCCAGTACCTGGAATAAGGGAATCATAATCTAAAACTGTATATGATTAACTTACATGGGGCGCGGTGACATTCGAAACATTGTCAGTTGACACTCTCTGATGGGATCCTTTCCTTGGACCACAATTTCCAGTTTTCAATAGTACGATCGAGGTCTCTTTTTACCCTTAAGTTAGTCTACTTCTCTTTTACGCGTCCTTCCCTTAGCAGTCGCAGCATTTCGATGCTTAGTTTCTATGGCTTTTTATTTTTCCCATCACGTGGTAGGCTCGATTACCAGCCGCTGTTCGGGAAAATGAGGGGAGGATCAAAGACTGAACCCGGGAGACGGCGGAAATCGAGCCTAATCACGTGGTAATCTTTGGGTTACAGCTTTCCAACTCTATATATCAGCAAAAAAAACATATACAACTCACAACGGATTTTTCCAGTCTTCTTGGTTTTGTCAAAAGACCTTTCTTAGTATAAAATTCCATTCAGACGGAAAGGATTAATGTTTAATTTGGAGCCAATTTTGCAGAGCAGAAGTAGCTTTACAGACCGAAGTAACACTCGGATCGCAGAAACAAAATGACGATTGACTTTCACTGATGTGATTGTTAATGTTTTCATTCGACATAAACTGATATTCAGACCAGGAAGATTGCAACGTAAAATTTCCCAGCGTGATGGCTAGAACAAGTTAGATTGAACTTAAAAGTTCACTGAACGTTCCCGTTTCCATCCAAGGCAAATGCAGCACAACTTAATGAAATTTAAAATGCCTTCAAGGCACTCATTATTGTAGTCCTTTATCCCAGAAACTATTAATTGACCCATGAGTTGAAAATAAATTGAGACTATTTCTACGCGCCACAGTATCCGAACCTTAGCGCAATTAGAATGACTCAACACGAAGCAAAGACCGATCCCGCAGGCTATATGGGTGGGTACCTAGGAAGGTTTGTGGGTGGTTAACCGGTAATGTGCCGCCACAACATTAAAATGTGGACCTGGTTTTAGGTGTAATTGGTAATGTTTTCATTAGACATTAGCTGGGGTACTCAGACCAGAGAGATTGCAACATAAAATGTCCCAACGTGATCGCTAGAACGAGTTAGATTGAACTAAAAAGTTCATTGAACATTCCCGTTTCCATCCAAATGCATCACAACATAAAGAAAATTTAAAATGCCCTCAAGGCACTCATTATTGTATTCCCTTATTCCAGAAACTATTAACCCATTTGACCCATGACTTGAAAATAAATTGAGACTGTTTCCGCGCGCCACAGTATCCGAACCTTTGCGCAATTAGAATGATGCAACACAGAGCCAAAGCCCGATCCCACAAGCTATATGGGTGGGTGCCTAGGAAGGTTGGTGGGTGGTTAACCGGTAATGTGCCGCCACAGCAATGAAATGTGAACCTGGTTTCAGATGCACTTTGAAACTGCATTCAATTCGCTGCTGATTTTTGCGAAGCTTTCGTGCGTCCCAGGAAACGTAGAGTACATGAAATTACTCGTTTTAGAAAAGAAGTCTTGAAATCAGGACCCTGTTGGGTGTCACATTCTCGTCACGGGGTTCACGATATTTTAAAAAAGGAAACCCCCTCGGAAATTAACAGGCGGTAACTTTTGCGGGTCTAATATCGGTTCAGGGCCCTTTAAAGATAAAGTCAGGAAAGGAAATTTTAAAAAGACGAGCTAGCTTGCTAGGAAGCTCTGACTCGGAAGTCAGGAATTATCATTGACATTAACTGAAATTTCCTGGGCAGCAGCACCGGTGAGTTGATTCCGGATCAATTGAGTTGTGCTTGCTGTCATCTGTGCGGTAAACTCTTTCATCCAGTTAAGCATGCAAAAGCAAAATTCTAGGATATACTGTCGGCACTGATCGTCTCCAGTTGATCCTGGCAGTCCAGTAAGAATAGCTGTTCTTCCCCTCAGCCTCTCTTTTTTCAGAACACACCAACGCGATGAAAGACATAAATAGACAACTTTCGATGGCAATGGCAAGGTAAATAACAGCTAACAGAAGACAAACTGGAAACTTAAAGGTGCAAATTAAAACCTTGGAGACGGTCCTACGAGGTCAGGTGACTTCTAGGCATGTTTACAAATTACGACAAAGCTTAAATTGTTTTCTCGCATCTCCAAAACACGTATCACAAATGATCACTTTCCATCTAGACCGTATTTGGTCAGCTTTTGCGTTGGGTTAGATCATAAACTAACCATAGTTCAGTTTCTTGTTTTTCGCCGACCCAACATTAAAGGACTCAAATCAGTAATTTATTACAGCCCAGACAACCTTTAAGTTGACCCTAAGAACTCGCGTTCTCCATCCCCGAAAGACTCCAAGCCTACAATCTTCGTCGGTCTCAGGGATGCGCTTACATTTATGGAACTTTAGTGAGAGAATTCTTCTGCAATACACTTTCCCAAACATAACGTGTTTACTCGTTGATAAAAAGCCTGGATAGCGGGACCGAATCTAAAGAGTAATTTATTAAAATATGGGAGTATTGAAGGACAAAAAGTAAAGAGTTTCTTCTGAATAAACAGCTATAAATTGTTAAATATCGTAGTTTAAGTTAAAGAAAACGATACACTTAGAGTATAAATTCAATGTACAGGTTATACGAAACTTCTAAAAATGACAATTGATAATTATTCCTTGTTATTATTGGATTTCTATTCCAAGAAACAGCACCCTATTTTAAGATTGCAAAAAACGCTAAATGACCAACGCATTTGACGAGAGAAGACTTAGGGCATCAGACATTCAGTGGTTAAAGCGCTCCTTGAAAATCTCCATACCATACTATACAATTTTGATCCGCTTGCACACTTGCACTATACTAAACTGTTCTTTGAAGACCCCACACATTCGTATGACTGACGAACTCAAAAAAGGGGAACGATTTTTTTGCAGTCTACACCGTCAACCCGGCTCCTTTGACTCCATCCGGTAATGGATGGAAAACCCCCAATCAAGCTGGATGAGCCCCTCTCCTGTCTATGCAGTATTACCACAAGGAGACCAGTCGAGGTCCTCTTTACTTTTCAAGTATGGCGGATTAAATACTAATCATCAACTATTTAAATTAAATAAATCTGCCATTTTAGTTTGTGATAAATAAAATGAAAGGAAAAAAGAATGATCTCCCTAAGGGTTTGTCTTTCTCAAATAGTTCCTACAGGGTCGAATGGCAATTAAACTACCCGCTGGGTTTTTCGCTACCAGGCACTTTTCAACTCTTTCTTAAAACAGCCTAGGTCAAGTCTGGAAAAACACACCAACTTCTCCAAAACAAATAAAAGTTGAACAATTAGCATCATTAAAGCAAGAAAAGGTTTAAATAAAGTCTACTACAAATTATGATAAGCATCAACAGGGGCGGATCCAGAAAATTCAGAAGGGCGTGGCCGGGACACTTGCCAGCTATATAGATGCTTTTAATTTTTCTGAAAATTCTATAAAACTAATAAAAATTTCAAAGAAAAAGAGGAGGCCGCGGCCCCCTCTACCCACCCCTAAATCCGCCCTTGATCAAGTTATTTTTCAAACTGAATCTAAATCTTTATTATTACAAGAGGACATTCAAAAAATTACAGTGACATCCATGAATCTAGGTCTATCAGATGTTTTAGAAACGCCTGCTGAATATGGTTTTTTTTAAAAGATCATTTGATTATCTTAATAGTAGCTAAGTTTTGACCTTTTTGGATGCCTTAGTCTTTAGTATACATTAAACAGACCGAAAGTATTTGGAAGCTGAAATTTTTTTCTTTGAAATGGAACTGGCTAATTTAACAGCAATAGTTCGAGATCGAAAACAAATTACCCTTTCGGCTTAAGAATCAAAGTTTTCGTCGGGCATCGTTTGATAGATTTACACAAGGAAAACCAGTATTCATCCAACCCCATTTTTGAGTCGCGACCTCCCGGTGGATAATATTTTCAATGGTAACTTCAGTGTTTTACAATATAGCGTGCACAGTTTTCTTACTAAGTTTAATCAGCCCACAATACCTTTGCTACAGGACATAGAACGAAGTTCTCCTATTGTGTTATACCACAGCTAAGCTCAGAACCTCAAGCCTTTTAGAATCTTTTTTTTTTCCATAAGCGTTTGTGAAGCTCATGGTGTTTTCGTAACTTGTGAACCACATTAGCTATTTTTAGGATCTATCGTTTTTAGCAGTAAGGCTTGAAAAATCACTTAAGTTCTTCAATTACTGTTTCCATGTTTGGCCTATCCGCAGGCTCTCTTACTATGCACCGTCTCACAAGTCGTTGAAACGCAGCGTTCGTCATCTCGTCTATTTGCATTCGACGCCGCCGCGGGTCTGGCTGTTTCTTGATGTTCATTTCGCACAGCAAAACGCCAAAGCTATAAACATCGACCTAGATTTCAAAAGAAAAACGAAACAACGGCATCTTAGTTCGTATAGACATACGACAAAGACATAGAAGGCTTTGTCCATAGCCTAAAAAATTTTTTTTGTAGTTGAAAGTACATTCTCAAAATTATTAATAATTCATAAAGAAAATACAAAGGAAATTAATGTTTAATGAGTATTTGGAAATCAAATGAAAAACTGCTCAGTTCTGCATGCTTAATTTCCTCTTCTAAAATCATTTTGTTTGAGAAGTAATATCAAGAATTCGACCCAGTGTTTCATCACCAGATGAAACACCTCGAAGTTCGTCAAAAATACTCCGCTGCGCGTCGTATTTTCAACTGGTGATGAAACACTGCTTCTCATGCTTGATCAAAAGCCATATTATGGCTTTTGGCTTGATATATTACGTCAAAACCCGTCAATACGGACACTGAGGAGGCCATGGAAGTACCTGCCCGTTAAAACGGGCAGGTCCGTATTAAGCGGGTTAAATTTAGAGAAAATGTGAGAGCTTTCTTTCCTCAGGGACAAAGCGAACTGTCGCTCCGTAATAATGACGTGTCCATATTAAGTGGGTGTCCGTAAGGCGGGTTAAACTTACACACGAATCAGGAACCTCTACGAATTTTTGTTGCTCTTGCGATTTGAACACAACGTGAGATTTTTAGAAATTTTTTTTCAAACCCACAAATTTGGAATCGGAATCGGAAACAAAGGACGTAGATTAAGGTACTTTAGATACAAGTGTGGAAATTTAGAAAGATTTTTTCCACCTCACAATCTAAAAAAGCTCTGATCTTGAAGGCAAAAAACGCTAGAAAGATGCGTTGCAGTGAGGTGCAACTACACTGGCGGCCCTAAGAAATCGATAAGCTAAGCCTGCATAAATCCTGTTTTTGAGTTCTTGATTTGTCTCATTACGTCAGATAAGAGCCTATCGATTTGTAATCAGCGGAATGGGTGTGGGCAGTGCCAAAGAAATTTAGTAGACTTTATCTTGCTTTGTGGAAATCGAAAACATTTTTTTGAAGGAGATCTTAATATAGTAAATTGTTCTTTCAGTTGACAAAATAAACTTTTAGGTTCAAGGAACTTAAACATACAGTGATAAAAAAGGTATTTGATTTTATCTCAAAAAAAGTTTCGATTGAGTCTTCACGACACTTAGTCAGGTTAATACACTCTCATCTTAAGAAAAACACAGCCATAGCAAATAGCAAAGGAAACGCTGGAAATGTATGCAAAACACATGCACATGGTCTGCATGTTAGGGTAGGTATTTTGAATCACAAGTTGGGACCTTTGTCTCTCAAGGCGTGCATTGTCAAATTTGTCAGAGGTTTTTTCTTTCTAGAAGTAAAAAGGTTTCCTTTTGCGAAGACGTTTTTGAGAAAACACTTTTTTTTGTCTGCATGATAGCTTTTCTACGATAAAATCGACCTACTTTAACATACTAACCTTGCAACTAATTGGTCGGTTGGGATCTTCAGTTAAGCACTCGGGTGGACTATACAATGCAGTCCCCAGTTCATTTCTTTGGCTCTGGCTCACAAGGTTAGCTGTACCATAATCGGACACCTTTGCTCTCCATTGGTTACCACATCGCCACAGCAACACATTTCCACTGCTGATATCACGGTGGATGATGGGTGTGGCCTTCTCGTGCAAGTAATTAAGCGCCCGCGCTACATCGAGTGAGATAACAGACACTTCAGCTGCACATAAAGGAGGCTGCTCGCTTTCATACAATCTATTTCTCAAACTGCAGTCCATAATTTCTGTAACTAGCAATGGTAATTTGTCATCAGTCGTAGCCCCAATAAAAAGTAATAAGCAGGGATGGCGACATTTTGAAGCCATATCCACTTCTCTCTCAAATAAATGTCTGTTGAAATCAGAGGTTATTTTTACGTGCATTTGTTTCACAGCGACATCACAACCGCGAAAAGTTCCTCTTAAAACACTTCCCCAAGCCCCTCGCCCGAACTCTTGATTCGAAAGTTGAATTTCACGCCGATTAATGACCCACTCACGTGAACTGTCCTGTTGAAAAGAAGAAAGAATGCACTTGAAGCCACTCTCACGCTGCTCTGTTTGACTCAGTTCTTCCCTCATCACTGCCATCTTTTGCTCTTTATTTCTCAGTTGTTCTTGCAGCTGACTGACTAGCTCTTCTTGATTTTGAAATCCATGCAATTGTGTTGCCATTGTCGTCAATTGATGCTCCTTTTCTTCTAACTGACTTTGCATGTCAGCGACATGTCGCTCCCACTTTCTCAGTTGTTCTTCCAGCTGACTGACTAGCTCTTCTTGATTTTGAAATCCATGCAATTGTGTTGCCATTGTCGTCAATTGATGCTCCTTTTCTTCTAACTGACTTTGCATGTCGTCAGCGACATGTCGCGCCGCCTTTCTTTGTTGTTTTTTACATTCTCGCGAATCGTGTTTTTGGCGTTTTTCTTGATCGTACGTTTCTCTAAATTTCTTCCAATCTTGTTCGTATGCTCTCATTTGACTTTTCAGCTCACTAACTCGACTTTCTAACCCTCTTGATGCTTCTCTATTCGCCTGCAATGTAGTCAGTTCCGCTCTCATTGTTTTCATTTCTTCTTCCTTTGCACTTAACCTTTCTTGCAACTCAGTGAGCTGCTGTATTGCGGATTCATTATTTTCATTGTTCTCCTTGCCTTTTTCCTCTAACTGTTTGTGCAAGTCAGCCAACTGCTCCTTCAGATAGCTATTGATTTTTTGCAAGTTATCAACTTGGTCTTGCAAGTCATTAACTTTGTCTTCTAAGGATTTGATCGCTTCATCTTTTTCTTGTAACTGTGAATGTAGCCTTCTCAAATGGTTTCTCATTGTTGTTTCTTCTTCGTCCGAATGATCCCAGACGTTTTGATCCAATACATTTCCTCGCACTTCCACCATTTTCCTCTGGAAGAAATGAACGCAAAAGATTTAATTTCACTGGATAAAGCAGAGCGTGAAAACGTTTGAAATTTTATGGCAATAACAGGGGCGGATCCAGGATTTTTTTTAGGAGGGGGTGCACTCGTCTCTTGCTCTACTTCAACACCAATAAACCGCATAGTTTTTTTTTGGCAGAATACGAGTTGTACTAGAAAACCACAAGTCATCTCAGGGGGGGGGGGGGGGGGGGGCCCCCCCCCCCCCCCCCCCCCAAATCCCCCCCCGAACCAAAAAAAAAATAAAAAAAAAAATTAAAAAAACAAAAAAAAAAACAAAATGAAATATTAAAGGAATTTGTGGATCCAAACAGGATAGAGCAACTAAAAATTTTTTTTTTGTGGATATTGGGTGAGGATCTTTTTTTTTTTTGGTGGGGGCGTGTTCATTTTTTTCATGTACTTAAAAAACAAAAAATGTTTTTTTTTTTTTTTTTTGAATGAAAGGAGAATAAAAAAAAAAACGGGCGGGGGGGGGGGGGGGGGGGGGGGGGGGGTGCGCACCCCCTGCACCCTCCCCCTAGATCCGCCCCTGAATCAAAATAATAATAAAAAAAACATTTCAATATGCGAAAGATCAAACCAATTGGAATTTTGAAGTTATTGTTGGATTCCAGCAGGATCAGCGACGTAAACAAAGTTAACATTTGGAAACGGTAACGTTTTTAAAGAAGGAAGTAATTTTATTTCTTCTCTAGCCTGCAGTGCAGGCGTATTTTGGGTGGGCGAAACCTTGTTCGTGTTCGTAATATTGTTGTAGCCGCCATCTTTGATTTTGTGACAGTGGAAGATCTTCTGGAAGTTTCAACATGGCGCTTTCGCGAGCAAATTGCGCGCTCAAAGAAAACGCCTGCACTGCAGGCTATTTCTTCTCCTTTACGGAAGAAGACGATAAGAGACTTCCGGCTTCTTTTGCTCACCCTCATTCTAAGCAGTACAATAAAAGCATATCGGCATTTTTGAGATGCACAATAGCATAACTGAAAGCCAGACACACTAAAAAATAAAACTCTACCTGTGAGACTCGTAAACATTTAGCCACTTAGTAACTAAATATCATATACGGTAAGAACTCCCATGACTATTCAAAGTAGACAGACTGCAAATTATAGTAGACCACGGTATCACGTACATTCCCCGTTAGGACTGAGTGAGGGGTCCGGTTTTATCCCATTCTGCCTGATACATAGCCTCCCCGCAGACGTCCTTTGGGGTTCGTTTGTCACCTGATACAAAAAAGCAGTAGTTAAAGTAATGTTATCCCGAAATGTCGAATGAAGCATGAAATGTCACTGTATCTACAGCTGTATCTAATTATACGAACTCTTACAAATTTATTTAAAAGCACAGTTTCAATGTAACTCGATTCTTCGGGGAAATCAGTTTTCTGTGTTGCTGTATTAAACAAGTTACTTACCCTGTTATGCGATGTTGTTCCTCAGTCAAAGAGTTGGATTAGTTTCCGAATTTCCTCTGGCCAGGGAACTGACTGACTGATTATCGAAAGCAACCCGGAACTGCTTCTCCCTGACACGACTGTCTTTTTACATAAATTCGGATGAAACAATAATTGTATTACGTTTCTAAGAGACGTGCCTAAATATTTAAATACTTTGGTAGCCCGAAACTTGAATCCTTTACTTCCTTGAAATCCAAAGCTGAGTCAGGGGTCAATTATAATGCTTCTTCGCGCACGTAGTCACCCTTGTTTTGCTACAACCAGTGTCTCAAGGAATTGTTTTTTTTTGACGCAGTTAATCCACCTTTCATCGATATGACGTCATTTAATCAAATTGGTCCTGGATCTTAAGAAGCTAACCAGAGCCTTGACGCAAAGTACAGGATACTCACAGAAAAGAAAAGTATACTTTAATTCAATTTTGGCAGGCATACTTTTCTTTTTTCTCTTATTCTCTGTCGCTCAAAGCTCTAACGAGCAACTTAATTTAGGCTGACCATCAGGGAATTTATCTTGTTGTAAACACTTCCGTCTTCAAGATAACAAAAAAAGACGGCCTAAAAATAATTTGTCAAACTAGAGATCAAATATTTGCTCTCGCTCGGGATAAAAAATATCACTTCACGAGAGGTGAGTCACTAAGTGACAGGTCCGCCCACTGTACAGTTAGGAAGGAAGTTCGTATTTCAATAGGCTCAAGAATATATGGACATATTATATACATGTGTATGAACAACACAAAGCTGCCACAGTATTGAATCAACTGGCAGAAAAAAGTCTCAGCTTTTTCATAAAAACAAAACAAAACAAAAAGGACTTGTTTTTTTTTTCTAGTAAGAAGGGAAAGAAGGTTTATTCCAAAGAACCTCCTATTCTTCAAGCAACTGATTCGAGGAAACATATTTCGCGTTTTTTGTAAGGCGCGTGCTATGTAAATAGCTATGCAACGATGGGAACTACAAACAAAAATATATTTTTAAGGTTACGAACACGTAGTTTAATACGGCGACTATTTTTTTACTTCCTCTCAAGGTACCCTGAACTACAGCTGTATTTGTACGCAGTTAATCTCGAATTAGTTATATCGTTATACGTGTGTAGCATGACAATTAGACGCATGACTCAGATTCAGGATTTTTCATTTTGAGAAAGTGTTTGTTTAACAGCAATAACACATACATACGCTGCGATGGTATTTTTTCAAGTCCACCCATGGTGAGCAATGAGGAGGAAATGCACGCGTATCTCTACCTATTCGGAAAGGGGTTGCTCGCAAAATCGAAATTTAACGGGAACAATATATTATTGATCTGTAATCCTGAGACGTTTTAGTGTAGTATTGAATTCGGCCAAGCGCGATGCAAACGGATTTTTCAAGGTTCTCTTACTCTCCTCGCATCTTTTGATTTCGCGACATCCTTTCCAAAAATCAAAGTTTGGTACATGTGCAGTAACGGGATATTGTTCCTTTAATTGACTTCAGTACGTATTTCAAGGACGTAATTGATTGCGTTCGAGGTACGAGAACGCAACCCCTTATTTGTGTTGGGTGTTCTGTGCATTATTGGGTGACCTGTGCAATTAATAAGGGAGGTTTTTTTGAGATTTCATTTTCGTTCGTTGTCGACACACATTTGCCTCGCTTTGAAGCGCTTGCTTAAGTTTTGCCTCACTTTGACGCGCTAACTCATCTGGTGATATTTTCCTTTGGATTAAGCCTTCATATTTTTCAGCATGGTTCGTCACTGTCTTTGGGAAATATCTGCGACTATTGGTGCATGCATCAAACCGGGTTTAGTTCGGCGGCCGTTATGCCACAAAGCAAATTTACCGAGTTGTGTAGCTCGGCAGCCGTTGTGCCACAAAGTAAATCTACCGAGATGTGACGCTCGGCGGCGCCATTTGACCACGACTTGTGATATTTTCGGCACCGGACAAACTAACACTTTAACTCTATGTTATTTATTAGGAAAAACTTATAAATCAGTCCACAGTAGCGTCAATCTCGAGTCACCGAAATCAACACGCTCGACCAAATTACTGGAAAAGTTATTGACGTGAGCTGCACACACGTTCTATTGAAGGCTTTGATATGGTTAGTGCGAAGTTTGAATTCAGATGTGAAAGCTTTTAAACCAGTAAATTCAATGTAATTCATTTTGTCAATAAGTTGATGATTGGATGCTGTTAAAAATAACAGAGGAAATTATCCGAAGAAATGTTTTTGAAGGAAGACAAAGAATCCCGGGTTAAGAGCTAATCGGCCTTTGAGAAACTGCGCCCTGTAACTCGCGCCAGTAAAACAAAATGTTTCATTTACACGTCCGACGCTGGCCAATGTCTTCTCCGATTAAAAGCACTTGACACCGAACCATACGATATCTTTTGAAAACAATCTTAAAATAATACACAGTTTAAATAGAGGTTTCGCTGTACGCAACTCTTACGTTCAGAATATGCCATAATCATATCTATCTACATCGCAACCACCCTTCCGCCTCAACAAACATATCGAACGTACTCTCCTAAGCTCCGATTACTCCTAGTCCAATACTACTATTGTCAATACAGTCCGGTGTCCGCTTAATAGAGGGTTTTAGCAATAGAAATTAGCCAAATACAACTTATTGTAGTGTCCGCGACCGCTTAATAGAGGTGTCCGCTGAATAGGGGTTCGTTATAAAGGGAAATATCAGACGTTCGTTTCGGGACCCGGCATCGTGTCTGCTTAATAGAGGGTGTCCGCTTATATATTGGGGGTCCGCTTAATAGAGGTTTGAATTTGTACTTACGAGAAACAATGTTTGTAAAGGTGACATTGAGGGACTTCTGACAACGCAGGTAGAAAACCTACATGCGATTTCTCACTTCATCAGAAAACATTTAGTGCCTTGAACTACGCCCAAGACTTTGAAACCACAGTGAAAGAATCGCTTAAAAGAGCTAGAAAGAATTCGAAATTCGCTACACTCATAAAAAGTCGAATTGCCCCGTGTCAAACACTTTCACGCCTTTCTTAGCAGTCTCAACTATGTCTCTCCCATCGGTGCAAACAGTGAGAAACGAAGATGAGGCACTGGATAGAGAACTTTTGACCTGTTTGACAACGAAGTATAAGAAGCGAATAAACTGAAGATAAAGCGAGATCTTTACCACCAGCGTCACGGGACTATGTCATGCTATTTGCTATCTTTTTAAAAAGCTAAAACTTTTTTTTCGCATCAATTGAATTCCAAAAATATTGGTCCAGTTTTGTTATCTAAGACGATATTTTGGTATTGATATTGTTTTCCGTCGTCTGTCTGTTGCAATGGATTGCAAGGATTGAAAATGGATTGAAACTTAGGTAAACATCAAGATACAGGACATACAGCAACCAGTTAAGTAAGAAAGTGATTCAGATAATGAAAGTGACGAAGAAGGTGACTTAATTTGAAGAAGTTTCTAGCAGGACATGCATGACCAGGTCGGAAAGATCAGTACGATAGCATGACTGGTGCGTCTGGATGTACGTGGATGGTTATACGAATTAATCCACTTTGAAATTACAGCAAAAATCGATTAATAGGAGTCTTACCCATTTTTACTACTTCGGTAGTAAAAATGGGGTTTTTTTAATTTCTATATTTTCAGTTACTAATAAATGGCGCTAGTGGCGGAGTTTATGTGAATTCATATAAGTTTAAACCTTGATTTTAGTAGGGCCTGCCCCGAAAGTAATTGACGTGCTGAAGTAAAGAAATTCGGTTTATAAAAGAATAATATTCGCTGTAGGAAGTGAAAATTAATAGCAACCAAAATTAGTAGTTAACTGAGAATTGGCCAAAAAAATAGTAGTTAACTGATATTTGGCCGAAAAATTAGTAGTTAACTGAGAACTGGGTACCCCCATTAGCACCCTCGTTTAAGGCTGTGCAGTTTTGCGTCATGCCACGTCGCAGAATACATGAAACTTGATTTTTTTTGCTTTTAATTTTCAGTGCAGTTCATGCTGTTACCACCGTGGTCGAGCGATCACAACACCGCCACAGAAACTCAGACGGGGTATTCTTCAGCTTCAAACACATGGAAGATTCAGCCAAACTCGCTTTCTTTCAAAGTCAAGTTTTTGAATGAACAGTTTGATCAAGGTGAGTTTAACATATGAAACACCCTCCTTTCAGGTCGAGGAAGACAAACGTCTGGTTTTTAATGATAGCTGTGATTACGGAGTAACTTTACGGAGGATATAGGTTCCCAGTCACCTTGTGAAAGAAAACGAAGATGAACGAGCTATTGGCTAATTTCCACTGAATGACTGTTTTTGTTGACATCGGCGGGAAATTGCCATTTGTACGGGAAAACCACCTGAATAATCAAGGCTGATGTTTATAAGGCAATTTCTACGCCTCTATTTAATATCGTGGTTTTTGGTCATTCAGGTCTGAAAACACTATCTGCTTTGATTTGCTCTGCAGTGAATCGAGCCGGATCTCGGATGACACCAACTTTTTGCGTTGTTTTCCCACAAAAAAGTGATGTGACATAATAGCTCAATGCGTGACATTTACTTTAATCGACTTTCTGTTCACCAATCTGTTCGTTATCCAGGTATCAATGTTCAGACGGGCATAGGTGTGGCTTTTGAACACTGCCTTTGTACCTTTTGTGATTTTAAACAAAAAATTTGCCCAAACCGCGGTTTTGTTACCCCCAGAAAGGCATATTTTATCACATTTGAACTATTTTCCAGTCCCAAGGGTCGGCCGTGAATCTGACAAAAAAAAAATCCAAAAAATTCAAGTTTCGTACCTATGCCCTTGAGCCCCTCCCCCCATCTCTGTCCAAACATTGATACCTGCATAACCCAAACAGTACTTTCGACTTTCGAGGTAGCTCTGTATTCTCACGGATCCTTCCCTTGGATCTTCTACTGCATTTTTGTCCTTATCATGTTGGAAATTTCTGGGTCAATTGTCTAGATAATGCGGTTGGGGAGTACTTGAAATGCTCAAAATGGACAACTGAAGGCATCAAGCCCCGGAAGGGACTCAACAAAGTTTTATACGGGGAGGTCCCGCCCGGAGGTACAACCCCTTACCGTTTTATATACCATTTTTGACGAAAAAGGTTCCTGTTTAGTATACCTTCTATTGATAAATGGTACCCCTTTCTGCTGCAAATACACCGTCTCTTAAATACAAATAAATCACAAAACCAGGACGCTTTCTTGAATTTTTACCGTAATGCATCTCTTAACCTTTTGGGCCTTTTTACAGACAAAAATAACAGATTTCCCAACCCTTTCATATACTTCAACTAGTGACATCCCTACCCTTTCATTTACCTAAAGCCTGATAAAGGTCCCCGTTTATAGGAAATACTCCCTGGGACGAGTTGTTCGAAGCTGGGTTAAGGTAACCCAAGGTTAGTGCAAAATTTGAACTCTGATATGAGAGCTTAAAAAGCAAATTCAGTTCAATTCTCTTTGCCTACAATTTGATGATTGGATACTCAAAAAAGAATAGAGAAATTATCCAAGAGAGTGCTTTTGATAACAAGAAAACGAACCCCGGGTAAAAATTTAACCCTGAGTTAGCTAACCGGCGTTCGAATGGGCACTGGACATCAAGCCGTCGTTACAAACCTTATCTCTCGCCTCAGTCTCCTATCTTACCATCGCTAGAATAACAGCATGGGTACTTAAAGGTTCAGCGAGCATTTGCTTAAGTAGTTCACCGTTTAAAAATGAGTAAGGATTTCAAATGATTCAAACCTGGCCGTAGAGGAACAGTAAAAAGTTCAACCTAAGGTACGCTCGCTTCAATATGTGTTGTCCACCATTTCGATCTCAAGGGAGAATGCTTTGCAAAAGAATTGCTATTTTAAGATAAGTGTGTTCTACTGACTAAGCGTAGTTGTCGCTTCTGTTTAATATCTGGAATAGTGATGTTAAAACCTCTGAGATTTAAATTCATATGACGACAGATCAAGAGACGATCCTGGCCAGATGTAACACTCTACATTAAACTAGGAATTATTTACAAGAGAAACCTGTCTTTTGAGAACATTCACTCCAAGTCAACAGAGAAGCGGTGTTTAATACGCATCACCTGACACAGAAATCGGCGACTGTAGCGCATATGCAACCCTGTCTTTGCCGACAGAGAGTCTTGTTTCTTTTGCAGGTAAAGAAGGGTCAATGTAGCGGAGATTTTTATCATATGAAATACTAACATTGCCTCATCTTTACAAAGAGTGGAAGTAAAGACTCTAATCGCGACTTCAAACGATTGCACTGAATGATTCATTTATTTGTTTACAATTCTTCAATCATTCATTCACAAATAATTCATTTTTATTCACAAGCATTTATTCACTAGTCAGTCACCCATGCATGTGTTCATTCCTTCATCTTTCTTTCAGTCTTAAGTTAAATAACGGTAACCTCATGTAATTTGTAAAACCTAAATATAACATCGTCGATGAAGCAAAAACAAAAAATAAGTAAAAAGTTAACTCAATGGTCATAGTGTAAAACGCATTATTTTCTTCCTTAGGAAACATACCTAGTCTGACAGACTTGGATCAAGAATACAAAAAGTATCCAGCAAGGCCTCTTCTACTTGATTTCAATAGAGAACTATGGGACAGCATTTAACTCGTACTGACAGTCGAGTTCGTGATCTGCAAAGTGAGTTAGAAACTCACGAGGAAAGACTACGAACCATGAGGGAAAGGCTAATTAATTTGCAGTTGGCGACCATGCAAGGCGAGCTGGAGAATCAATTGGCAACAATCCAGAATGAGTTTACAGCAATGGAAGAACAACTGCTTGAATTTCAAGGACAAGAGGAACTCCTGAGAGAGAAAAGGCAGCAAGTTCTTGACCTGCAAAATCAGTTGGAGAAAAACGAACTTGAAATGACCACAATGAAAAAACAACTGAAGAGGTTTAAAGGACAAGCTGACCAATTAGAAGAAGAACAACAACGCGTTATTGAAGTGCAACATCAGCTGAAAACAACGCAGCATGAACTGGCTGCAACGAGAGAACAGCTAAATGAATATGTAGAATATGAGGTACTATTACGAGACGAACGGCGGCAAATTGTTGAGCTGCAACAGCGGTTAGAAGCAAACGAAAATCAAATGACAACAATGAGAGAAAGAATAAATGAAAACGAAGATCAAGGAGAACTTCTTCGAGAAGAAAAACAACGCTTTACTGAGTTGGAGAATCAGCTAGAGGTAAGCCAGCACGAACTGTCTACAATGGTGGAACAACTGAATGAACTACAAAGACAAAGCGAGCAATTAAGGGAAAAAGAACAACAAGTGGCTGAACTGCAAAATCAATTAGAAACAAACCAGTGTGAATTAATAACAGCGAGAGAACAATTTGCTAGATTCCAAAGGCAAGGTGAACGATTAAGAGAGGAAGAACAACGAGTTATTCAACTGCAAAGTCAGCTGGAAACAACTCGGCAAGTTTTAGCAGGAGTGGAAGAAGAGCTAACAGCATTACAACATCGCGAAACTGAACAAAACAGAAGTCTTGGTGCATATCAATGTAAAGAGTCACGCGATTGGGTCATTTATCGCCACGAAGTTGTCAAAAATCAAAAGCTGGGGGAAGGAGCGTGGGGCATTGTTTTTCGGGGAAAGTTCCATGGGTGTGACGTTGCTGTAAAACAAATGCACGAGTCCATAATGTCGGATTACAACAGGCGCTTGTTTGAGCGAGAAGTCGCAATTGCCTCTAAATGTCGTCATCCATGTTTGTTACAGTTCATTGGTGCGACTGCCGATAACAAAAGGCCACTGCTTGTAACGGAGATTATGGAGTGCAGTTTACGAACGAGGTTATATAATGATGACAATACACCTCTCTCTTCCACAGAGATTTGTGTTATTTCATTGGACGTAGCTCGAGCTCTAAATTATCTTCACCAGAAGCGTGAGCCTATAATCCACCATGACGTCAGCAGCGGTAATGTGTTGTTATGGCGACAAGGTGACCAATGGAGAGCCAAAGTGTCCGATTATGGCACTGCTAATTTTGTACGCCAGAGCACTATCAATTACGCAGGGGCTGCGATCTATCAAGCACCCGAGTCGTTGAACGGAGATCCAGATCAACCCATAAGCTGTAAGGTCAGTACAAGAGCAGTATATTTCGAAAAAGAGAGGGATATATATCCCCCTTGTATCTCTGCTGTAGTCAACAATGAGTTTGATAAAAAAGAGCCGGGAATTGAATGCACAGTCAGTTTTATTCAAAATTGAGAACTTTAATATAACTGTTTATTATATAGACACGAGTGTTTTACCGGAAAATATACCACTCGTAAAATTCATAAAAACTTCATCCGGGACCCGAGTGGTTTATTTTCCATAATATCATAGGTTACGAATTACTCCTTAATTTTGGCGCGAAATTTCAGCGTTTATACTACTACATGAGAAATTTCTGCAATTTGATTGGCTTAGAGCAGTGGTATTTCAGCTTAATTTGAAATACCTACATGTGAAAATTACAAACCTTTTGTGTGTAGTAGTATAAACAAATAATAGCATGATTTGTACGTAATTTTCGGCTTAAATACCACTTGTGATATTTCANAGACGTCATTTTGCGGGGAAACCAGTGGTGGCGTTGCGAAATGTCGGCTGTTTTCTCTGGCTAGTTGCAGGCACAGGTTTTTTTTTTTTCTTTTTAAGGGCGAAGGGGGAAAATAAGGATGCGCGTGTTTCCCCTTTGCGCACTCTGTAACAACTTGTTCCACTTTTCATAGCATCTCCAGTTCTTCGATAACCGTGTCCATATTTGGCCTCTCCCAAGGCTCTTCCTGTACACAGCGCCTCACAAGGCCTCGATGGTAGCAGTTTCTGATCCGCTCTATTTGCCTCTCACGGTCCTCCTGGACTGGTTGTTCTCTGATGCACATTTCACAGAGGAGGACACCAAAACTATACACATCAACCTAATTAAGAAAATCGAAAATTAAGTAAAAAGATGTGTCATTGGGTTTTATTAATCATCTATCTAAAAACGGCTTTTGAATGAAAAGGATTATAGCCTCCGGTTTTCATTAGATCATTTGCGTAGCCTTATGCATAGGGTCCACATAAGCTCACATAGATAGAGGATATTACACGGTGGCGCGAAGATATGAATTTTATTTTCGAGTGGCAAAACAATATTTTACGAACGAGCGCAGCGAGTGAGTAAAATATTGTTTTTACCACGAGAAAATAAAATTCATATCTTCGCGCCACCGTGTAATATCCTCTATCTATGTGAGCTTATGTGGACCCTATGCATAAGGCTACGCAAATGATCTAATGAAAACCGGAGGCTATAATCCTTTTCATTCAAAAGCCGTTTTTAGATAGATGATTAATAAAACCCAATGACACATCTTTTTACTTAATTTTCGATTTTCTTAATTAGGTTGATGTGTATAGTTTTGGTGTCCTCCTCTGTGAAATGTGCATCAGAGAACAACCAGTCCAGGAGGACCGTGAGAGGCAAATAGAGCGGATCAGAAACTGCTACCATCGAGGCCTTGTGAGGCGCTGTGTACAGGAAGAGCCTTGGGAGAGGCCAAATATGGACACGGTTATCGAAGAACTGGAGATGCTATGAAAAGTGGAACAAGTTGTTACAGAGTGCGCAAAGGGGAAACACGCGCATCCTTATTTTCCCCCTTCGCCCTTAAAAAGAAAAAAAAAAAACCTGTGCCTGCAACTAGCCAGAGAAAACAGCCGACATTTCGCAACGCCACCACTGGTTTCCCCGCAAAATGACGTCTGAGAAACGAGCGCAGAAATTCCATACTGATGACGTGCACTATCCAGATCTGGGTAGGACTTCTGATTGATTGAAGCAAATATCCGGCACGACCAATCAGAAGCACATCTGGTTAGTGACGCGTCATCAGTATGGAATTTCTGCACTCGTTTTTCAGACGTCATTTCTCGGGGAAACCAGAGGTGGCGTCTCGAAATGTGAAGGCTCCCCATTTCCTGCCTCCTTATAATAAATTCTAGGTAACAACAATAAACAAATTGGCACTATAGAATTAAATACTAAACTAATCATTTGTAGAGGTTTTTACTGTAGAAAAAATTTACCATTTGGAACTTATTATGATAGGGAAAGTGAAATTTATCAATTAAACGTTATTCCTATGTGCGACATACAGATGCTTATTTTTTTTTCCAGGCCATAAACGAGTTGGCCCAGTTAGTCCTTTGATTTTTATCATGTTTGAACAACGCGCAAATTAGTGTGACTAGAACAATGTATGTATAGGACTGAAGGGATTATTTTCAGAAGACGGAATTGTAATTCTGAGTAGATGGGGGAGTGACCAACTTTACGTGGAAATAGCTGATTTAGAGCTTTGTAAATACTCACACCAGCGTGGTAGAATTCACTCCATCCCTATGTTAGAAATGGGATCAGAAAAGGCGTTTGTAGATTTGCTAAATATCTTAAAATTCGAATATGATCTTATCGGTTATATTGATGGGATCCTTTCTTTGGATCACAATTTTCAGTTTTGAATAATAAGACTCAGGTCTCTTTTTACCCTGAAGTTAATCTGCCTCTCTTTTACGCGTCCTGGTAACGAAGCCCTTGATCGAACCTGAATGACCGCCTTTCCTGACTCTTTTTACTGCCGGCAAATGGGTCCATCGATCTCGGGCATTAATTGTTTCATAATGTGTTGAGTAAGAATGCTGAAGCAAGGGTGGTCCTTCACTGTGGTGTTAACGTGACTGAAATTCCTAGAATCGAAAGGTCACAAGGTCCATAAAACTTCCGCGAAATTGATTTCGTCTTTCGCGTTTCTTTGCAGTCGCGCAAAAACGGGGAAATACTGAATTGGTGTCCGATTTTAAAGGGAATTAAGGCAAACGCAAGATTCAGTCAAATGTGCTGGCAATTTTAGGATTTTCAGGTAAGTTTCATGAATGAGTATAACAGCAATAATCTCCTTGAGGTGGGCCAAACAGTAAACGCCGCTTTGAAAAAAACCCGCTGGTTATTAACAAGCAGAAGATTTAGGAAAGTTTTTAAAATGCCGTAAAATTGCGAAAATAAGCCCCGGGGTTTATATTTTCCAAAGGCCCTTTCTGAGAGGCTTATTTTTGGAGGGGCTTATCTACGGAGGGAAATTTGCGTTTCAAACTGATTTGGTTAGCCTTATAGATGGCAGGAAATTTACCGTTTTTGCCTTGTTTTACTTTGTATTTGAGGGCAATTTCCTAGGGGCGATTTAACGGAGGGTTTTTTGCGTTACGAGTTTGGGGGGCTTATATTTGGAGGGGCTTATTTTCGGAATTTACGGTATACCTTAGAGAAGACAACTGAGTTTCGAGACAACTTGCGAAGGAAAAGGGTTAACAAAATGTAGGCTCATTTTCCACTGGTTTGATTGTGTTCAGTTGCCCGACTAGTTCAATCGATAAAACCGATAATCGATGACAATTGATAAAATCGATAAAAATTAGTTAATTGTATCGGAAATCGATAAAAATCGATAGAGGGATACGTTGTGAGTAATCGATAATTATCGATTTTTAAATTATTGTTATCGATTTTATCGAACTTGTCAAATTTATTGGCGCAATACGTTTCCACGTAGTTAAGGGAAGCGAAGCATAAGAACTTCCCGAAAACGAGTCTAACAAAAAATTACTCTCGTAGGATGACTTTAAAGATTTATTACATAAATCAAATATTGAACAAATACGTAACATGATCGGTATTATACTTAACATGATTCAGCGGAGAAACAAAACGTAACAACTTCTTCTTGCATTTTACTTAGAAACTATTCAAGTTAAACGCCGTTAAGACATTGTACGACGGTACAGTGGACGTACCATCCCGGGCTATGAGCGAGCAAGAAGGTCTTAAGACGCCCAGATAAAACAGATGTAAGCCCCTTATTAAACGCATCGGCAAAAACAAAGCTTGTTTTTTTAAAAACGCTGTCTCGGAAGAACCGGTATTTTGCATTTATAAGTGTCAACAATACACGGTCCTTAATGAAAACGATAAAATCGATAAATCGATAAATTCAATAACTTAAATGAGCAGCAATAGTTGTGAGTATCGATTTCTATCGATTGATCGATAAATCTATAACATTTAAATTTGATATTATTGATAGTTATCGATTTATCGAACGGTTTTCCGATATCGGTTCTTATCGATTGAACTAGTCGGGTCAGTTGATATTGGAGTCGAAATTCCATTCAGACGGAAAAGAAAGCGAGTTTTTCACAGCAGAATGAGCTTTATAGGCCGAAGGAAAACCCAAATCGCAGAAAAAATATGTGATCGTTAATGTTTTCATTCGACATTAGCGGGTTAGTATTCAGACCAGGGAGATTGCAACGTAAAATTTCCCGCCAGCGTGATCGCTAGAACAAGTTACATTGAAGTTAAAAGCTAATTGAACATTACCGTTGTCTATCCAAGGCAAATGCATCACAACTTAATGAAATTTAAAATGCCCTCAAGGCACTCATTATTGTAGTCCTTTATCCCATAAACAACTAATTGACCGATGAGTTGAAAATAGATTAAAGAATGACGCAACACGAAACCAAAGTCCGATTTGACAAGCTATACTCCGGGGTGGGTGGATACTCAGGAAGGTCTGTGGGTGGTTAACCGATACTGTGCCGCCACAGCATTAAAATGTGAACCTGGTTTCAGATGCACTTTGAAACTGAAATTCAATTCGCTGCTGATTCTTGCGAAACTTTCGTACGTCCCAGGAAACGTAGAGTACATGATTAGTCGTTTAAGACTGAAAGAAGTCTTAAAATCAGGACCCTGTTGAGGGAGACATATACGTCACGGTATTCACGATATTTTTAAGAGGGAAACCCCCTCGGAACTTAACAGGCAGTCGCTTTTCCGGGTCCAACATCGATTCACAGACCTTTAAAGGTAAGTCAGGAAATTAAATTTTAAAAAGAAGAGCTAACTTGCTAGGAGGCTCTGACTCGGCTGCTGGGAATTACCATTCACATTGACATTAATTGACATTTCTTAGGCAGCAGATTTAACACACTTTAGAGAAGACTGGTGAGTTGATTCCGGATGATTGAGTTGTTTATTTCTTTGAAGTTTGTGTGGAGAAAATACCTGATTACTGTCTTTTTTATTCCGGGACTAGAGGTTTCACTGCAGTCGGTTCTCGATAACCGATCTGTGCAGTATATTCATCTCATCCACTCGAGCAAAGGCAAATGGAAATTCTAATACATACTGTTGACTCTGATCGTCTCCAGTTGATCCCAGCAAGAATACACCGCTGTTAAAGAGTGTTTTTTATTTGGCCTGCCATGCATCAGCAGACACTTGGGACCAGTTATTTAAACGGAGTTTAGCCCGCCAAAACTGCGTTCTAAGCCATTTTCAGCGGTTAGAACAAAACCATTTTCAGCGTAGACTAGAAAGGCACTTATTTTCCTAAATTAACCTACTAAGAAATAGATCTGGAGATCTAATAATTTCTTAAACCGCGGCCTAAGTTAGACTTCGTTTAAATAACCGATCCTAGATGTTCAGACGTATGTCAGAGGGATTCTAATTTCCTGAAGTTATCTGAGACTAAATCATTTGCTTTTCAACATTATGCAGACTTGCTTACAATTCGATTTTTTTTGGTAGAGATTTCTCTCTCAAATGGATTCAGTACTTTATTGCATCATCATTCATCTGACTATTAATTAGCAGTGCAAAATTTAATAGTTCGAAAAAAGTGCCCATGTCTTTATTTCGGGAAAAATACCTTTTCCAATGAGATTATGCTGTTTGACCAAGATACTGAGATGTGCCTACGCTATTTTTCCTAGTCAATAACCTTACCTATTTCATATCGTAATTTTTTTTGTAGAATTTTTGACAAAATAAGCTGGAAGTCTATGTTGTGTCTGGCTTTACTCTGTTGCCTAGTAACGGAACGAAGGGTGAAGCGGAACATTGAAAATTGTACGCCCGTCGTTAAAATTGTGTCAATAACAAAACTATCGAATCTGATTGGTTCTCAGCTAGCCTTCAATTTGGAGTTATGACCCTTCCCTTCAGGCGCCGGGTGCTCAAAAGATAGATAGCGCAATCCACCACGCAGAGTTATCCACCATTTGAACAACTGGGGCCTGGCCGATAACCCTTACCTATCTTTTTAAATTTTTAAATTTTTTTTGTGCGTGTGTGTATCTGTTAAATCAAGGTCAATACAAAAGAAAAATTAAAAACGAAAGTCAAAGACTGCGTAAGGGACTTCAACTACAATGGGACAGTGCTTTACGTCTTCAAGAGACCGGCGAGTAACTCAACGAGAACTACGCGCGGCGGCCATGGAAAGGGATTATTTAAATCGGATTATAGAAATGGAAAAAGAATTAAGTTTAAGAGACGAAGAATTAACAAGGTGGAGAGGACAAAGTGGAAGAAGCGGTCAGTTAGATCGAACAAACAATTTGCAACAAAGAGACCGTGACTGGGTTATCAATCGGAATGAAATTGAAATAAGAAGCGACCAGAAACTTGGGGAAGGGGCGTGGGCATCTGTTTACCGTGGGAAATTTCGAGGGGACGATGTCGCTGTTAAAGAAATGTACCCGGATATTATGTCCAATCGTCATATAGAAGCGTTCATGCGAGAGGCTGAAATGGCTTCGAGATGCCGCCATCCTTGCCTGTTGCAATTCATTGGTGCAACAACTGATGAAAGACCAGTGATAATAACGGAGATCATGGAATGTAGTCTGAGGACCAGGCTATACAATCAAGACGAACCACCCCTATGCGAAAGAGAAATAACTATTATTTCTCTGGATGTAGCTAAAGCACTGAATTATCTGCATCAGCAACCACAACCTATCAATCATCACGACATCAGTAGTGGTAATGTGTTGCTATGGCGACATGGTCACCAATGGAGAGCCAAAGTGTCTGATTATGGCACAGTCAATTTTGTGTTTCGGACCACTAACAATTACGCTGGGGCTGCAAACTACTGCGCACCCGAATTCTTGAATCTAGACCCGCTGACACCGATAAGCTGCAAGGTGAGTGCTTCATTTACGTAGCTGCTTAGCAGGCACATGAGAAATATGGGGCGCGAGATAAGCGATACGTGCGATAGAGGAAGATATGCAAATGCACCTGTTACAGCCTTCTATTCAATCGCGTTGTGGATCAAGCGCAAGTTCGAAGTGTGCAAGGTACCTTTGGAAGTCAAGTCAATTCAAGCTTATTGCATGTGCAAAATAGGCTTAGCTATTTGTGAGAAAACTCACTAGCTAATTTACAGGTATTGCACATTAAAATAAGATATTAAAAATGAATAGACAATTAGAACTAAAATATATATAAAATAACTTATTGAAAAGATAAAATATAAAAACTATTTACATAAGACTAAGAAATTTCACAAATAAGATAAGGCTAAAACTATTCACAATGCGATAGACTGGTAGTAGTAGTAGTAGATTATAGTCTAGTAAACCTGACAAGTCCAGTTTTCTAATACTATTTTTAAGAGACTTGAAAGATTGTATAGTTCTATATGAGCTCTATATTGTATAGTTGTATATTGAATTCCATAGTTTTGGCGCTGTAAACCGCCACGATTTCAGGCCGTATGTTGAAGAGCGATCATTGGCCGCTTTAAAATATCATTGCCCCTGAAGTCGTATTTATTGCTTCTATGTTCCATCAGATCTTTGGTGCATATTCATTGTTAATGACACTGAAAACTGTACATGCTATTTTAGCGAGGCGTTAATTCACAAGTGATGGTTAACCTATTTTATTTAGTAAATCAGATTTTCATTAAAGACAAAACGAAGGGCACGCTCATTAACTTTCCCAAGCTTTGCAGTGGTACTTTTGTTACAGAAATACCATTACTATGAGCGGTTGTTGAAGTGAAGAATGATAAATGCGAGGAGAAGAGCGGAGAAGTGGACGCGTGTCTTACTTTTTGGCTGACTCCTCCCCGATAGCCCGTTTCGTAGATGTCACCCAAAATTGCAACTTTCGTATTTTTTATTCATTCAAAAAACCACCACCATAGATAGATTTTTCATACCGAATTCAGCAAAAATGCGAAATTTCACAAGGATTCGTCCCAAACTTATACTGAAAATTGATAGAATTAGTAAATACAGGCAAATTAATGTTTACAAGGAAATGAATGGATTGGGGGAAGGCCATAAATTTCAATGTAAAAAATCCCCTAAGTTGCAGGCCCCATATCTCTATCAGTTTACGACAAATCCTCATGAAAGTTCGCAGTTTTCTAAAGTCGACATCATTAATCGACCTAAAGCGGTGTTTTAGACGGATAATTGCAAATATTGCGTGACATCTGAGAAATTGGTTATCGAGGTAAACGTGTAACTCTCCCATGTTCCCTTAGGCGCTTAGGTACGAAGCAGCAGGCGGCGCCTGCTACTTAGCTAGGATACATTTTCAGCGCCATGAAATGGGGGCGGTTTTACTTATGAGAAGTCCGGCATCACAAAAAGACCACTAAACAAAGAAACAACTCTCTAATTTCTGAATTTAACTGGCGGCAGTACTCCGTATCTTTCATTTGTGTAAAGAGGTAGCCTTCGAACAGAATTCTTTTATATCGTTTTTCTTATACAAAAGGGAACCCAAGGAAATTGGAGACGTCTGCAAGTCGAAAAATACAAACAAGAAAACAATCTTATGCTACTCGAGGTAAACGGCTAACATCGTCTAATTAGAAGGTAATGATTGAAAGCGTAAAAGATAGTGGATTCTGTTACCGTGACGAATTTCAGTATGATCCAGTAGCACTGAAATTTCTGTCTTCAGAACCTTTGAAGTTCCGCCAGAAAAGCTTTCTCTTTCTCTGCTCCCTATTCACGATTTGTAAGATAAGTATCAAGAAGTAGTTAAGCAATGATATTCCGTACATGGATAAAAGCCACTGAGTAAACTTACGAAGATCTTAAACGAATGCTGTACTCGACTAATGGTTTTCTCAATTTTTTTAATAAGTTGATGTTTTCAGTTTTGGTGTTCTCTTATGTGAGATGTGCATCAGAGATCAACCAGCTCCGGACGATCGTGACAGGCAAATAGACGAGATAAAAAACCTCAACTATCGAAGACTCGTGAGACGATGTGTACTCATACTTCCTCGAGGGAGGCCCAGTATGGACGAGGTTATAGACGAATTGAAGGCATCCATGTCCAATACTCACCAACTGCAGGGGCCTCAATCACGAAGAATTTCTAGTGCATGGGAGGCTATCGGTGGGGATGGATTGACCATTGTTGACTGTTAAACATAGTAATCATAGTAAGTACTAAATTAATATTCTGATTATTCTAATTTCTATTCATCGTCCAACCAAGCTGAATTTTTTCGATTTTCTGCTTGGTGCATGTACTCATATGAGGCCTACCAAAATTACTCTTAACAATCAATATCACACCTGTTTTCAGAAGCTTAAAAGTGCCCAACAACGGCCCAAGTTGCGAAAGCCATTTAATTCTACACTTATGAAAACATAGGTGATGTTGAGTGATGTCGATTTTACGGCGAATAACTATGTTACTTCTTCCGCAGCCCCCCACACGCCCCCGCCGTGGGGTACTCCCATGGATTTCGGATAGGTGTGTGCCGCCCAGGTTCTTAAACCTTGACCCTACTTAAGGATGAGAAGAAAACGAAAGCTGATATCCTATTTAAGGCCCAAACCTGAAAAACGAGACTCAATTTGAAGAAAAAAAAAGAAAACTAAAAATTTAAGGGAAACACAAATCGTCCTTAAATCGCTTTCCTACTACTCTAGGGCAAAGTTTAGTTTTAACAGATGATTTGTTTCTTGTGTAGCTGGGCATTTAAGCACTTAAATTTTAGGTGATACAATATCGGTAGCCCATCTAAGGAGCATACCGAGAACACAAAACCATCAAGGGCAAAAATGATACCCTATTAGGGATGGAGACCAAGAGACTCTCTTGATGGAGACCCAAAAAAACCCTACCCTATCGGGTGGCACATATCTATCTAGCCCACATATGAGAGTAGCCCCCTCCAGGTTCAGCAGCCATCTTAAAGACCGCGTAGATATGATTGAGGTAGTGATAAAGACCTTTAAACTATCAGGCAAAAAACGAGTCACATATTGGATTGTTCTTAGTACAGTAAGAACGCACAAATTAGTGTGAACGGACTAATGTGTGTATAGGACCTAAAGGGATTAGTTTCAAAAGCTATGGTACTGCCGGAACCGGTGGGAGTGTTACTTACATAATAATGATAATATTTATTAATTAATATCGCGCAAAATAACATTATAATGCATGATCAATTGCGCATTTCACTTGACTATAACTATACTACCAAAGCTGACTAAAAATACATGTACATGTTAGGAGCCCAGTAAAATGAATAAAAAAGGAATTTTAAAAAACATAACCACACGCGGAAGCAGCTGCTGAGAGGCCTGCACACACTCACGCCCGCATCACCATTAAGTTTCCCTAACCTAACTGGCGATCTAAGTGGCACTAAGCCAACCTTGGGATTCAGGTCGAGATCGACCAGTTGTAGCAGTTCTTTCTTTTTTTGTGAAGGCTAGTAGTTTACGAGTGTTGTACATTAGGTATTCACCTATTGCTATTACATACGTACTTTGCAGGGTTGGTTCTCGCCAAGCCGTGCCAAAATGAACCTATTTGCCTTTACATTTTGTCTCTTGATGTTGTGTAGTGGAGTCAAAATTTGTATTTTTGATGATGTTATCGGTGTACTTTATGTGAAAGGATCCTTTCATGAGACCACAGTTTTCCCATGATTTTTAAATAGCAGGACTGAGGTCTTTACTTTGTTAGGTTTCAAGTGTTATCCTGAATTTAAATAATCATGGTCTCTCCTGGGCGTCCTCCCCCAGCGGCCACCGCTTTTAAATTTCACTTTTTTATGGCTTTACCGTCACATGGTTATCTCTGGGGCAAGATATTGCCACTTCTGCGTATCAGGAAAATAAACGTTACTGCGCTTCAAAACGCAACCTACGACACCTTAAGCATGCGTCAAAAATAAGGGAAAGACCTTGACGAAAGCTGCATGACCAGGATTGAAATAGCTAGTGCTTCTCTATGACTCATTTTGCTGCCGGCAAATATGTCCATCGATCTCGGGCATTAGTTGTTTTTTATTTTTAATGGGTTGTGTAAGAATGTTGAAGCAAGGGTGCTCCTCCAACGTGGTGTTAACGTGACTGGAGTTCCGAGAATCGAAAGGTCACAAGGTCCATAAAACTTCCGCGAAGTTGCATGATGGTTTCGTTTTCTCCGTTTCTTTAGCGCGTAGGTGTAGACCAAAACGAGAACAAAACGGGGAAATACTGAATCGGTTTCCGCTTCTAAAGGAAGATAAGGCGAATGCAAGATTCATTCACATGCACTGGCGGTTTTGGAGCTTTCAGGTAATAAACAGTTAAACAGTTAATGAGTCATAATGTAATTGACCGTAATTTTCTGATCGAAGTGGGTCAAACAGTAAACACCGCTTTCAAAGTCCACGCTGGTTTTTAATAAGCAGGAGCTTTACCGTGGTTTAATATACCATAGAGAGGAGAACTAAGTTTCCAGACACCTTGTGAAGGAAAAGGGTAAAGAAACTGATGTATAGGCTCATTTCCACTCGTTTGATTGTGTTCAGTTGATATCGGGGTCGAAATTCTATTCAGACGGGAAAGAAAACCGACCAACAAAGGATTTTAAAAATATAAAAATTTATTTGGAGCGCGTTTTTCAAACTTGCCTCCAGCAGAAGGAGCTTTACAGGTCGAAGGAGCGCTAAGATGACTTTCACTTACAGAAATCTGGTCTATAGACCGAAAAAAGGGATGTTTTCGAGATGTTGTTTGTTCAGGAAAATCTTTTTTATGACCCTGCTTTGATGTCCATCCGGATAGGCGCTACAAAAGTGTGAATTCATCTCTTGAAAAACTCATAAACATTAAAGAAATACTTTTTCTAGTATAATCGATATTAAATGATACCACAATCCAAAGTAGTATAGGAAATGGTATCTGTAGCGCATTTTAGTACCCCCCCC